GGACGTGTTCCCCATGAGGGTCAGAAGGTAGATGAGGGAGAACATGACAAAGAGGAGGATCTGGATGTCTCTGCGACAGGGGAAGCCCAGGAGAATGAACTCACTCACAGACCCAGAGCTATTACTGGTTTCTGAGAGACTCATTCTTCTGATCTATGAAGGGAATGAGCAACAGGACCATTATATTAGTCATCTTCTCTCTTGAAAAGTTATTTTTATTTCTTTTGACTCCTATACTCTCCTTTAATACACTTTTGTGAAAGGGCTCCATCTGGTTCTGAATTCAATATCTCTTTTCCCAATGATCTGGCTTAGCCCAGTGACATCAGCGTTCTGAGAACCCAGTCCAACATGTTACTTATATGCTCCCACAGCCCCCACTGTAACAGTCTCCATTTTTCAGGGTATAAATTTCACTGGTATCATGTAATGTAGACTCCAAACTGTTTTCTCTGTTTGCGTTTAAATTAATTCTTCCTTGATGTATAGTTTCATAATATGCACCTGCGGGGAGCTGCCTCATGAAGTGAGAGTCTGGTAGACAGGAGTTAACAGTCCTGATTTACAAGACACAGCCCCTGCGGGGAGCTGCCTCATGGACTGAAGGTCTGGTATCCGGGAGTTAATAGCTCTGTTTACAAGACTCAGCTCTGGGAGGATTCCCTGTCCCGCCACCCCTACGTTCTTAAGATAAAGGATTAACAGATGTTTTCCCAGAAGGAGTTTCTGTGCTTTGTTCTTTGCCCAAGGAAAATAAGATAAGGGTAAAAACAGGACTCCTTAGATTGATGATTGTAAATGTCATTCCTTGAGATAAACATGAGTGTAATCGTAAAAGAATCTATGTAATCTTTCTGGTATTCAATGTTTCTTCCTTCTTGCATGCTATAAAAAGAGTTGCAGAATAAACTGCGTTGGCGGTGTCTAGCCTTTGCTTTAGCAGGCTGTAAGACTCGTCCCTCTCGACCCCATTCTGTGTCTGTCTGCTTTCTTTTCTTAGTCGTGTCGACTGCGTCTTCGGACCTGTTCGTTTTGCCGGCAGGCTCCGGCATGCACCCTCATATATACACTTAATTTCTTTTTTTCTTGTTGCAAAGAAAATTTTGTTTAGTATTTTGGAAAATTTGAAGAAAAATCAGTTTAAATATAATATGAAGTTGAATTAGGTCAGCACAAAAAGAGCACCTTGCTACGTTGTCAGGAACATATTTTCAGGAGATCTGTCCTCAGTAGTGTTAACTGAAGCAGGGTGCTCAAGACTCTACCACAAATTCCATTCTAGCAAGAACTTAGTAGCTTCTTAGGGCTGGTATTTAACTTCTACTTGCTGAGCAACAGCTAATATGATACAGACAAAAAGGACCCTAGCTGGCTTCACTCTTTATTAGGAGATCCTGGCTTTCAAATAGAAAAACAGCAAGAGGCAGATGGAGAAACACCTATCTCAGCTCAGATGGCTGCAGCAGTATATTGTCCGTATATTATAGCGTTTCCTCCTTGAACCAAATTCTCATTTATAATAAAAAAGGATTTTAACAAGGCTACTAACTAAAGCTGGAAATCACCACCTTTGACCTGCCCTGTGTCCTAATTCTTGGCACCTTTTATGACATGAACCCAGTCTTGGACACTTTCTTTAAAAATATTTGACTTCTAAGGTAGTAAGCGTAACAGCAACCACTGTTAAGTATTAAACATTTATTGTGACTGTCACTTAACATTCATTATCTCATTAAATTCTACTCCCATCTCTTCTCTAATCCTAGAGCCTTAAAAAACACTTTCACATTTCTAAGTGTAGCATTGAATTTTATTGTCCCTCTGAGCACATTAATTCTAAAACCCAACCTTTTTTTTCTGCACAGCTGTCAGCTATGTATATAATATATTAGCTGTGTTTCCTGATTATATCTGATTCTGATGCGACTTAATTTCATCGAACTTCCCCTTGTGCATATGGAGGATTAGCCTCAGGAAAGCTGTGTTAGGAACTGAGGCCATATACCATAGGAAAAGATTATTTAACTATTTCTCATAGTCTCTCTGTATAGGTTATATCAGGTACATCAGATAAGATGGTGAGGCAAGTATCTTCCAGGCTAGCAGTTTCTAAAGACTAAAGGGAGATCAAATATGAAAAGATTCTGGTGTTCCTTCAGAAAGACCAAACATTGCATACAACAGATGGGTGAGTTAAAATGGAAAACTATAAAACATAAATCCAAGGTTATACCAGGCTCATTGGGGAAGGTTTTGACTGGAAATTCAGTGATTGGAAGGGGTGATATGATGCTTTAAACCAGAACTAGATGACCTAAATTTTCATTATTTGTTATTTAGCTAAATTGTGTAGAGTAAGAGCTACCACACTCTTCAGTGTGACCACAATTTTACTTAAACAGCTGAGCTGACTGGAGGGCAGGACTGCACAAACACAAGGCAATGAAGTGTGATAAGGAAAAAACAAGAGTGGACAGAAGGTATGTTTCAGGGGTGTTGTATTTGAATGAGAAATCTCCCTTTCACTTTTGGTTAGAATCAGTGCAAACTCACCTCAAAATTAAGGTGAGAATAAGGAACCCTTGAGAAGAAGCTTTTGAGGTTTTGGGAGTGGCTCTTGAATGATCAGGTGTTAATCAAAATTTGAAGTAGAAGAAAAGAAAGTATCATACAAAGAGAAAGAGAAGGAAGCAGTAGATTTTCTTTCAAATTCTTACCTGTAATACAACTTGGAACTATTGTGAATGTTCTTCCTTCCTTTCCCGGTTCAGGGCCAGACTTCTTGGTCTTTGGAAATCCCTCTGTTCCTGCCTCACTGTTCTAAGTTCAACACACCAAGGGTCTCTGTCTCCCTGCCTTGGATCACTGTGGATTTTGTCTGGGACTACATGTTGATTTTTCCTTTCACTGCATATAGGAATCTTTCGATCTTAATTATACTTGATGAAAATAAATACCCATTACTTACAAGTGTTTTCTCTCCTTTGAAGTGATTGGAAGCCCATTGGCTTCTGTCGTCTTTTTATCTGAAAGATATGTAAAATGGCAAAGTGTTAGCTCCGATTTTTCTGATGGGATTTTTAAACAACTGTATCTTGGACAGACATTTGAGATGTCCCGTGAGGAAGGCTGAAAGCTTTGTAAAAAATATGTCATTTTATATACTACTTTGTCTATAATAGAAAATATATTTATAGATAAAATTACAAAAGAAAATTCACAGCCCCCTTTTTGTAGCAATAATACACACAGTGGACATTGCAGCAGACAGTCAAGGGGCTACCACCTGTGCCCTCTTAGAGATCTTAGATGTGCAGGGTTTGGGGTTCCTGATGACACTGCCAGTTTGAGCCTCACAAAGGATTCTCTTCAGCTGCAAAAAGAGTAAAGTGCCAAGAAACTCTCCCTTCATTTTATTTTGCATCCCTTTATGGCCACATATTGTCCCTGGGGGCCATCCCTCAGGAGCAGCAGGGACAATCACAGTGCATCACTCAATCCTCAAGTGTGTTTTACTTTCAGTGATGAGCTCCAAGGTGAAAAAGCCTCCCTGAATCCATCAGTGAGACTGTCACCTATTAATGGACCCCCCAGTTTGCTGCTCACTTGACACCTCCAGACAGGTTCTGGATTTGAAAAACCAACTCAGTGTTGGATGCCACCAGATGCTTCAAGGCTCTTGGAGCTCCCCTTCCCTTGAATGTGTTTCTTCAAATGATATCGAAAGTTCACTTGAATAAATTTTCAACTCTTGAGTATCTTTTCAAGGATCCACTAAAAGTAGCCTCCCTGCCAATCTTTATCACTCAGTGCAATGGTGTTAAAAGTTGGTCACACAACACTGTAGAATGACTATAACTCAATTCAAAAAAAAAGTTGGTAGCTAGTCTCCCTGCAGATTCCAGGCAGCAGGGACTGATGCCTGTTGAAACTGTCTCATGGCTTTCAGATTTCATGAGTATAAGAAAACCTAAGTTCTCATTTAACATTCAGAGCCTCCTATCACACCCTCAACCACAAGGATTCCATGTCTTTTTATATATTTAAATTTTCTTCCCCTGTCTCAGTGGATACACTCTACCCAGCTTTATATTGTGTTTAGGTGATAGTGCTAATTCCCGGGCCAGCTGATTACATGTTCGTTATCTAATATAATACTCATTACATTCTTTTGAAGACAATTGTACCATTTTATTTTTTTAAATTTTTACACAATTTTTAAAGGTTACTTTTCATGTACAGTTATTACTAAATCTTGGCTATATTCCCTGTGCTGTACAATACAGCTTTGCGCTGACAGAGGCAGCGAGACTGGAAGTAGCCCACTAACCCTATTCAAGTTCACTAGTTCCCGCAGAAAGTAACTTGGGGGCAAACACTTCTGGTAGCATTAACCAGGTCCTTTTACCATTTCCCTTGCTTCCGGTTTCTTCTTCTAGCGCTAACTTAAGGTTACTCTGATTCTTCATTTTGGAAGCAGCAGTGATGTACCTGGAAGTCTTAGACCCACTAATCCTTTCATACTGCATTGGACACTCATTTTTAACTTCCTCCCTCAATGACTTGCTTATAAAAACTTCTGCTGGTTCTTTGTTGCTTTGACAACGGCTGTCTCACCTCTTTGGTTACTGTAGAAGGAGACTGTAATTTAGGGCCTCTGAAATGCATAGGGAAAATCTTCCAGAAAAAAAAATGTTTGATGCATTCATCCATCTGTACTGATCCTGGTAACATTTCAAGGCTGCCCTTAGGTATAGGCTGCAGGGCTCTGGTGACTTCTGAGAACCTCTGAGACAGAAATTTGAAAGATATGTGGTGTTTTCTTCCAAGAGGGATGCAGTTAGTATGAGTTAAAATTCATGCAGAACTATTCAATACAACTGCAGCTGAAAATAGAAGCTTGCCAAAAACCATCTGCTGCAGTAAACTTCTGGTTCCATTATCACTTACTAGTTGTGTGATGTTAAAGAAATTCTTGAACCTCGCTAAAACTGTTACTTTTCTGATTTACTAACGTAGCATTGGTAATCATCTGCTCCAGAGCACTGCTGTATATAATAGACGAAGTAACTGTCCTCAAAACATTCAGTGGAGTAATAGTCCCATGAGACGATCTGGGAGAAAAGGAAGTTATCCTGTCAAGGTTGGATAACGGGCTTTATTGTAACAGTTCCCTAACCCAAATTATTCAGTTTTCTGGAGAACTGTCTTGCTCATATCCTTGAGATAAGTCGTGTTGGGACTTTGCTCACTATGATGCCTGATTTATGTTTTATGAACAGGTATTTCAGTCCCAAAGGCTTTCCTTAGGGCAGCCTTCATCTCCTTGTTCCGGAGACTGTAGATTAGAGGATTGCAGAGGGGTGTTATCACAGAATAAAACAAAGTAATGATTTTTTGCATTTCCACTGGGTGTCCTGACCCAGGACTAACATACATCACCATAACAGGACCGAAAAACAGAACTACCACAGCCAGATGAGAAGCACAAGTGGAGAAAGCCTTGCGTTTGCTCGCTGCTGAGGGCATCCTCAGCACAGCCAGAATCACCAGAGCGTAAGAGCAAAGGATGAAGAGAAAGGTGCCAATCATGAAAATAGCATTGACAGTGGAGTAAATGAATTGTGTGGTGGTGTCTTCAGAACAGGACAGCATCATCAACGGGACAGGATCACACAAAAAATGGTCTATGATATTTGGGCCACAATAGGGCAAGTGTGAAATGAGAACAACTGGGGTTAGGAAGAGGATGAAGCCGCAGGACCAGCCAAAGATGACAAGGCCAGTGTACAGCTGTTTAGTCATGATGCGTGGGTAATGCAGCGGACGGCAGATGGCAAGGTACCTGTCAGAGGCCATGATGCAAAGGTAGAAGCCCTCATCACACCCAAAGGAGAAGAAGAAGTAGAACTGTGCAAAACAGCTCACAAAGGAGATGGACTTGATCGTGGACAGGAAGTTGACCAACATGTTAGGGATGGTCGTGGTGACATAACATATTTCCAGGAAAGAGAAATTCCCCAAGAGGATGTACATGGGAGTGTGAAGGCGCTGGTCCCACCACACGGCACAGACAATGGCTGTGTTCCCCACCAGGGTCAGTGTATAGGCTGCTGAGAAGAACCCGAAGTAGAGGAGCTGCATCTCTGGGCTTGAGGGGAAGCCCATGAGGATAAAGTGGCTAACGAAGCGGGTGGTTTCTCTTTCGGACACATTCATGGTCTGGAAGACATGGAGATGACATGGTTACTGCACTTGAATGGACTATGCTGATTCTTCCTGAAAACACCTGATTTCTTTACCTTTTATTTCATAAAGTTGTAAACAGATTTTTCCTTAAGCAACAAAATGGTGACTCTCATGACCCAGCACCTGAGCATATATTGTTTTTAAAAGTCACAATAATAGAAAAGAGGGAAACATGAATTAGAGACAAATTTTTACCTTTCTAAGAGTGCTAAAGAGTATAAACTGTGATTCTGACAAACTAACTGTATTAGTCTGCTTTTTCAGCTGTTTACCTGCACTACTGATATTATGTGTGTCTGTCTGTGCATGTGAAGTTCTTTCAATTATACTATGAATATCTGATTATTATTTATAACTCATATGATAAAAATGAAGTCAAGATATTGTAAAACACTCTGTCTCAACGAAGTGCCATGACAGAACATAAATTAATTCTCATTCGCACTTTCAGTTCCTCCAGCTTACTCAAGGTGTAATATGCCCATTATGGCAATTGGTGTAAGGATGAGCCACCTGTCTCAGTGATGGGTCAAGTTCAGTGTGCCTGTATATGCTACCCATGGTCAAGTGAGCTGCAAGAAAAGTGGAAAGATATATATATATATATATAGTGTGTGTGTGATTTCCATATTCCTTTATTCACAGCCCTTTTTCATGTTCTTCATTTTAGGCAGAATTCTGGTGTCTTTTTACATCTCACTAAGCCCCATTTAGGCCTTTCCCACCTGGGCAACTCTAAAGCAAGAAACTTCTCATTTCTCGCCCTTTGGTGGCTTCCATCCCAAGTAGTTGTTATTGAATCAAAACTAGTTGTCTTGTTTCCTCAGAACCTTACTGTGACCTATTACATGAGCCAAAATAATTCATTCAAAATTATTTCTTTTTCCTTTTTGATTGACAGTATTGTATTATTTCAGGTCCAGCATAGTGATTCAGTAATTTTACAGATTATACTACATTAGAAGTTATTACACAATAATGGCTATAATTCTCCAGGCTATATGGTATATCCTTGTTGCTTACCTATTGTATACATACTAGTTTGTATTTCGTGATCCTATACTTCTAACATTATCCTTCCCCCTCCCACTTTCCCTCTCCCCATTGTTAAACATTAGTTTGTTTTCTATATCTATGAGTCTGTTTCTGTTTTGTTATATATTCTTGATTATTATTATTTTTATTATTATTTTAGATTCCACATATAACTGGTATCATATAGTATTTGTCTTTGTCTGACTTTATTTCACTGGGCAGAATACTCTCTAGGTCCTTCCATATTGCTGCAAATGGTAGGTATGGAAGCAACCCAAGTGTCCATTAAGAGATGAATGGATGAGGAAGATTATTATACCAGTAACAGTCCAGTGTAATGGAGTATTACTCAGCCAAAACATTTTATTAACATCTTCTTGTGTCAAGTAGTCTTTTAAGTGCTGGAGAAACAGCTATGGATATGACAGGTCTTCCGCTTATGGAGCTTATAATAAAGAAGTTAATAGTAAACTTTTAATAGTCTTGCTCAACTTTGATTTGTTTTCCAATACTGGAAATATTTTTGCATTTTATAAAGAATATTTAATAAACCAAGGAAGCCTTTTCAAGGTGGGAATCCAAGACTTTGAGTCAGGGAAGTCATTGACATCTTTCTGTATAGGGAGATAGTATCAGGGTTCCTAAGTCAGACCCCGTAGATGGCTGACTGTTTTATTTGACAATTGAGATGGCACCTAAATTGGAAGAACTACTATTTATAGATCCTCATTGCCCTTTGGATTGTATAAATATGGATACAGTAAATTAAGCCAGCTAAATGCTTGGCTCTATGTGTTGTCTAAAAATCTGTTAATATTTTTAAAGAAAGAATTCACTTATCCTAACAGAACTTTTGAGGAATCATGTCTCCTAATACCTTGTTTGAAAGATATATTTATATTCCAGTCGGATTATTTCTCTGTCCTTTAGACATTCCTGTGTCCTTTTTACTCATGATAATAGTGTCAGCCATCTCACGTAATTTAGTTTCTGTAGAGAAATGTCGTTGACAAAGGATTTGTTTTGAATCATTATTGATACTTACCCTTTTTGTTTTGGAATATTTACTGGGGATAGCAATTGTCCAATGACAGATTTAGAGTAAATCTTGTATGTACAACAAAAACTCATACATGCTGAAAAAAACTGTTACTTCAGAAAGAATAAGTACACATTAAAGCAGGGCTCATTAATCTAACTGAACTGAAAGGCGAATATATGGCGTTGGGAAAGAAGATATCTCTGAAATGAAAGATTTGTCATATTTCCTTTACTCACCAAGCAACAGAAATCACCCAAATAAATTCTTCTCCAGCAATTTATGAGTTAACACGCATCTTCACTCGAAATCTTAAGCCTCTTTGTTTATACCTCTTATTTACCTTTTAGAGAGATAACTAAGTGAAAAATATCTTCCAGAACTTAAGGAAACAAGAAGGGAACCTATATTTTTAGGCTTTCTTTTTTTTTTTGGCCAGCATTTCATCATAGTATTTTCAGTTTTCTTGAAGATAAGAAAATGCTTCCTATTAAATTCTTTTTGAAAAAAATTGGAGCACATGTGGCTCACATGTTAGTTTCCCTTTCATCCCTCAGATGAATGCTGAGAAGACGTTCAGAGATGGGAAACAAAGGATTACTCCATGGAGCAAAAGGCATGTGAGGGACTTCCAAAAAATTGGATGATCCAGTTTGTAATCTTTCATGCAATGCAAAAGGTGACCCCTACAAGATATTTTTCTCCAGCTTCAAGGCACATGTTCATGGTCAAGATGAAAGCACAGATGAAGGTAATAAATACGCATACTTCCTTGTGTCATGATCTTTTGGGACTTGGGACTTTCTCTCTTGATGATTTGTTAGTATTTGTTTAAAAGAGGAGATCATTTAAAATTTTCATTTACTTATAATCAAACACCAAGTCTTAGTATTTTCCAAAGAATAGCGAAGATGTGGAATTTGATTCAATTTTTTAAGTTCTCTACTATCCATGTATAATTGCAGGTTCCTGGGGAATAATTAAATAATAATTGGGATTGTCATAATAGTTACAATAGGAAGCTTTACCACTGGGTTCCCTGTATCTATTTTGAAGAAGAAGAAATCATTCTTTGTCCATCAGATATCTGTACTTGCATAGTTTGTTAGAGATATTTGAGATGCATTTTATTTAGAACAAAAAGAATTTACAACTCAAACTCATAAAAATAGAAAGTAGAATAGTGAACTGCCAGGGGCTGGCAGGGTGAAGGAAATGCGGAGATGTTGGTCAAAGGATATGAACTTCCAGCTATAAGATGAGTAAGTTTAATGTACAGATGGAGACTACAGTTAGCAAACTATATTATATATTTGAAAGGTGCCAAGAAAGTAGATCTTACATCTTCTCATGACCACCCACCTCCAAAAAAAAGGTAATTATGTGAGGCAACAGAGATATCAACTAACCTTATTGTGGTAATCATTTTACTACATATGTGTATCAAATCATCAGGTTATATACCTTAAACTTATACAATGTTACATGTCAATTATATGTCAGTAAACCAGGGGAAAAGTTGGCAGCTTAAGAAATTTAATTGGCTTTCAGTTATTCCACAAATATTTATTGAATACCTATCATATGCCAATCACTATTTCAGATACCAGGGATATTATAGAACTCACCCCCAAACTCCTGTCTTCATGGTATCTACATTTTATTGGAAGGAGAAGAAAATAAATAACCTAAATAAGATAATTACATGTATAGTAGAAAATAATATGGAGAAGAAAAGAAAGCAGGGAAGGAGGAAAGAATGCTAGAATGATGGGATTATAATTTTAAATAGAGTGGTAAGGAAAGTCTCACAGAAGGTTAGTTAAACAATGTTTTAAAAGTGAAAGGACAAATATTTTTTGATATCTGGGAGAACTGTATTCCAGGCAAAAAGAATATTTAATTATAGGAGACAGAGGCCAAAGAAAGTATAACATGTTGGAGAAAGAGCAAGGAGGCTGGTGTGGCTGTAGCAGTGTAAGCAATGGGACATGATAGCAGAGAGGAAACAGGGTGAGGGCAGATCAGTCAGGGCTTTGTAGGCTATTGTAAAGACTTTGGCTTGCACTGTAAGAAAGGATCACTGGAAGTGTTTGAGGGAATAATTAAAAGATCTGGCCTGAGGTTTTTTTTTTTTTTAATTTCAAAATGAAAAAAAAATGTGTTTTTTCATATAACTGTAGCTCATTTTTCCTTGCTGTATAATATTTCTTTGAATGACTATACCACAAGTCTTTACCCTATTGTTGGGATTTTTGAGTTGCTTCTAGTTTAGGGCTGTAATGAATAACACTGCAATGAATAGTATTCTGCATATCTCTTGGTGTATATTTGCAGGTA